TATTTCTAGACCTTCAAGCTCTGATGAAAGATAATGTAGGAAAATTATAGAGAATATTTGATGTTGTTATATCAATTTCTTGATTATTAAAAAATACTCAAAAATGAATAAATAAATCGTTTGAATGAAAAGAACTCCTCAGGTAAATGGTTTAAAACATTAATAACAGTATTGCACCATATTTAATTTGAAACCTTTTGAAATCGATAAAAACAAGATTTCGGCTTTCAAATTTTGGAAGCCTAACATCTTTTGAAAGAAAAGAAACAATTAAAAAATTAGTTTTAGAGCTTTGATATTTGATGATAAACAATGGAGAAAAGTTGTTATAAAGCTTATAAAAAAAAACGTCGCCTACTACTTTATGGAAAAAATTTATAATAAATATTCTTGATGTAACACGGAAGTTCATCAAGAAGTTTTCTTTACCTAACTCGAAATATTCTCGTTCTAAAGTTAATTCGAATTTTAATAATTAGAAATTAAAAATTTTAGATCCCTGGACAACAGACTGTATTGACAGATTGTGTCTGATAGATTGTAAGCTCTAATAAAAACGACAAGTACATTGTATGTATTGCTGTTTCGCTTACAATGCTTTCAAACAGATACTTTTGTGCCTGCTTTCCATGAAATTTTTTTTATCTACAATGCTTAAAATTTGTATTTAGTTCAAATTTTTAGCGTACATATTTTAATAATATTTAAATGCAAGAAAGATCTATAAAGTTGTTACATATTTTAATGGTTTAGCGTTAGAACGTTTTAGTGTCGGCGAGAGAATGCCTTACACTCAGCAAAAGTGTAGTACAATACTCCTACTCGTATAAATAGTGTAGTGCACCATGTAATGATGCTACAATGAACATACAAATAGATATTTAAATATTTTCATTAATTTGTAGCAATTTAACGATACGTATGTACTAAAAAGTTCATTGGTTTAGTAGTTGTTCTGCTCTTCAGACTTTTTCTCAAGTTTTTGCACAATGTACCGATAAATACACTGTTTATACAGTAGCATCAGTATATGGTGTATTCGGCATGAGAACCGTACTGTCAGTACTGTCTGGTGGGCAGAACCTGAACTAGACCCAGTCCCATATTTATCATTCAAACATAGCGCGCGTAAATCCTGAAGAAATTGAAGATATAAGTAAATAACAATTAATTCCTTAACGGTTTTATTACAGTATGTGGGCAGAGGATCACTTAAATACTTTAAAGGAGAGTGCGGGGCTAACATAGGACATACTTCGGTGCTGTCAAAACTAAAAATATATTATAGGCAAAGATCCAGGAGTAGGTTATGAAAATAATTCCATTATAAACAATAATTAATTGTTTTTCCTTTTTTGCATACGTTCTATTCATTATTGGCTTTGATGGTGCCTCCGGTTATGCCAACCCTCAACAAAAATTTCAGAACGAAGATAATGATGATCGAAGCCCACAACAGACGCTCTTTGTATCTGGTGCCCTAATTGTACAACTGTTGAGTCAGTCTGATCCCAGATATTTTTGGAATAATCCTTCGCCTCAAAGTTATCGATTTTTTAGACCTCTAAGATTGTCACATGAAAAGGAGAGCGACGATGTTTGTCTTCGGGAATGCAACCGCTTAAGTACAGAAATATATCGTGTTCAGCTGTTCAACTTTACCATGCGCAATGGAAATGAAGTCAACATAAAATTTTCAGTTGCAAAAACTCTTTTTGACGGTAAAAGTTTGAATGCTATTTTGGGCAACAGAGCAACTCAAAGGTGTCCTGTATGTTTGGTAACAGCCCACAATTTTAACAACCAAAGTTTAACCTTCAGTCCTATCAAAGGCTCGTTATGTCATGGCTTGGGTCTTTTACACTGCAAGATAAAAACCTTCGACCATCTTCTACATATCGGTTACAAAAATAAGGAAAAAAGATGGGATGTAACCAAAGATATAAAAGGTATATTTCATGAATTGTTATTTTTTTCACATTTATAAATGAAATTCACTTACTGGACTACTGTTCAATAAAACTGTTATCAAATTGACTTTGATAATAGGTAGTTTAATACTTTGATTACTGGAACTATATATTATCGGGTTATGGAGCTTTGTAACGTTGAATACTAATTAATTGGAATTTCCAGAATCAGTTGATTCGCACACGAAGCATATACAAAACAAAATATATGAATCGTTTAAAGTTAGACCTGATCAAGTTATTCAGGGAAAAGGAACCTCAAACACTGGTAATCTTGCTCGTAAGTGTCTGGAGGAACCTAAAAAGTTTGCGAGGGCCTTAGAGATTGATGAAAATCTAGTTTTGAATCTTACAACTATTTTGAAAGCTTATAGATCTGGATTACAACTTCAATTAAACAAGCTTGAAGAGTTTAGTGAAAAAACGTATAGGCTTCATTATCAAAAGTACCCATGGGTACGAATGAATCCTTCATTGCATAAGCTTTTAAAGCATGGTCCTGCTATAGTACGAAAACTCCCCTTGCCTATCGCTTACTATGCTGAAGATTCTCTCGAAAGCATGCACAAAATCCATAGAGAAACTGTCAGAGAGCATTCCAGAAGAAACAGTCGCGAAAACACTTTACTTGATACTTTTAATAGAGCGGTTTATCTGTCAGATCCAGTACTTACTATGATTTATTTAGATAGGAGAATGGTGATGTACAAACAAAGAGGAGTGGCTCCAGAAATAAAATGCTTTTTACAGCCGGGGTTAGACAACTACATAAATTTCCTAATCTACTAATATTCGATTCAAATATTAATATTATTGTATTCCTTCTTAGAGAGTTGCCAGAAACTGGAACCTATAGCAGTGATGAAGAATAGTTGCAAAAAAAGGTTTAAGAAGGGCAGAGCTTATTCTTTAAATAATCAATTATAAGGTCTTTGTGTTAAAATTAGTGTATCTATAAAAATTGTATCTTGCTTTTTATAAATTATCCTAAGGGTAGTATTTTATAGAAATTTAAAAAATGGCTTCTTTATACTGTAAACGATATAAATTTTTATTCGTTTAGAAAAAGTCTGTAAACATGTACTTAACTAAGATTGCCAATAAAATATTCTAAAACAAAGAAATAAAGAACCACGATGCAACCTGCAATAATAATTTTTGTTAAATAAGGTAGGTGAAAATGACAAAGTTCGAACATGGACTGTAAGAATACTAGACCGAATAATCATTAGATTTTATTAAAATAACGTATATTTTTTTTAACATTTTTTATACTTTTTTCTACATTCCCTGCATTAACACCTTGTTTACAAAAAAAGGTACACAACACAAAATTTTGTTTTTTAATTTTTTTCTACGTAGTCATGGGTTGATGATTCCCAATCATACTTCCTTCATAGTCTTTCTTCCATGTATTTCCCAATTAAACTTTCGTCAGAGATTTTCTAAATCGTCTATCATCGTTGACTAAAGCTTAAAAATTTATTTTTCATTTCCTTATTTTCTTTCTAAAGATTATAAATTTTGACACTTAACACAAGAACTCGTTTTTAGATGTTATGTTAGAGCGTATTAAATTGGCTACCTAGTAATAATTGTCATAAATGTTTTAAAAACAATGTTATATAATTGATCAAGTCATTTGAATGATTCTTCAGCTCAGAATCTTATTTTCGAGGTATTTTTCTAATTCAGAGGTTAGGATTACTCAATTTAATATTACGTATGATTTGTTGTTTTTCTCTATCATCTAAGCTTGAAGCTCCAAAAAGAATATTTCAATTTTTTACTATCCTTTTAAATATGTTAGGTTTCCGATAATCCAAACGAAAGAGCTTGTTTTTTGAGGTTATGTTTAAGCAGAATAAATTGAATATATAGTGATAATGTTCATGAATGTTTGAATAACATCGTTATGGTGGTAATTAAGTTATTTACATGATTTCTCTACTTGAAACTTTTTTTTTTCGAGATATTTTATAAATTTAGAGGTTAGAAATACCAATTTTGATATTCTCTATAATTTTCCGCTATTCTCTATCATTTGAGCTTGAAGCTCCGAAAAGAATTTTTAGTTTATCTTTTTTCATTCTCAAGATATTAGGTTTTAAACAAAAAAAACACCATTTGACCTATAGTGGCCGCCGAGCTCAAAATGTGGCTTTGGGGAAAAATTCCGCAAAATATTGCCTGAATTTTTTTTCAAATATCTCTCCAGTTTAAAGCAAAAAAAGCAATAATGATGACATGATAATATACTTCGATACAATTGTGCATATTTGCCACATGCACACAAATGTTAGCAATAATCAAGACAGATACTATATATTGTAAATAAAAAATGCTTTATCATTCGTACAGTGTTATACGAGTTTTTTTTGTGATTGTGGATGTATTACTATCGTCATCAATAACTGCCACATCGTCAAAATCTTTTTCTTTATCTTCTTCTTCTTTATCTATTACTTCTTCTTCTTCTTTTTTATCATATTTATTTTCTGTACCTCGTATCTCTTGCATACTGAGCTTGTCTAAAATGTACTGAAAATTCTGTTGCGATTTTGTTTTCCATAAGTAAGGTTTAATTATGGGTATTTGTATTCATGTGGCACGTATGCGCAATTGTGAGTGTATATATGTAATGAAATTATTATTATGTAATTATTATTACTACTTTTTTTGCTTTAAAACGTAAAGAAATCAAAAAAATAATCACCGTCAAAATTTTGTGGACACATTTCGAGCACAAGTTTTCATATGGACACTTTTCGGAAGGACCTTTTTTTAGTTTTTTTATACGTTATTGAAAAAGTGTAACATCGATCTTGCTTAAATTAGGTATGCATATTGAGGCTTGTAAAATATATTATGTTTGAAGTATTCGTATGTAATAGAACAAACTTTATAAGAATCCAAAAAATGGCTTATATTTAGTAAGACTACTGGATCGATTGGAGCTCACAAAAACTTAGTCGATGCTTGTTTCTATTACGAATTTTTTTTTTATCGTACTTTTTTCCGTAAATCTCAAAAAAATGATTTCGACGATTTTTGACATTTATAACCTCCGTGCCCTAGTACGATCGGCGTTTGAACTTATGTTATCTGTATTGCTATTATCTACAAAAAGAACTTTTAAGTCGAAGTTCACAGTAATATGGGACGGATGTGCTAATTTTACCTGACTGTGGGGGTTAGCGCGCGAAGTGCGTGGTGAGCGAAGCCTCACTAGTACACATATACATATGATAGCAGTGCATATAGTTTACATGTAAATTTTTACATACGGACTATACATGTAACTTATTTTTTAAAATATAATGGATTACAAACTAAGGACTCACACACATGTTGTATATATGTCAATACTGACCACAATTAACAGTCTACACTGAACTGCTTAAAAATGGCATGTTTGTAGTCAACTTACATGCACGTACATTTCTCTGTGCCTCTGCTTATGCAGACATGGATTCTTACAAGTTTTTTGCAGCGTATTTATTTTTCTAATGCAAGGAACAATTTATACGACACAACTTTTTTTAATACTAGTTAATACACAGTACTTATTGAAATTGTTTTAAAGAAAACAATGCATTACAATAAAAAAAACTACGTTAATAAAAAGTAAAAGTATATGAAAATAAATTAAAACATATAATTGTAATAACTCACGACTAAATGTAATCTATACTATCATACAACAATTAACTTACAGAAATTACCTTTTTTCTATATTGTGTTGTAAATACTTACAAATGAAAAGTTTCTTTTTTCAGCAAAAACAATGCGTTTAAAAGTAAAATTTCTAAAGCCTTTAAGGATCTAAAAAAAATTGTGCTTACACCTTTACCTATGTAAGTAATTATATAGGTATGTTACAAAGTATCTACGTATTATGTACCATCAGACAGCAGTTCTAATTAATGCTTCGATATTTACGATCGAGTTTGACTCTGATGGTTCTTTACATACTGTCATATGTCACGTAGGTTATGCGATGCGACTTTGACAGGTGAACGCTATCACGAAAGCTCTTGATTAAACTCCAGTGAAATTTTGCAGCAGTTCGCCCTTTTTACGATTGCTTAAAAAAACATTGAGCTCGTGTGACAAGTCCTAACTATTGATCAACTATTGGCACATGTTATTGCCAACGAAGTTATTAAAAAATGTATAAATAAATTAAACATGGAAAATCTGCATGTTCTGTAATAAATCGATTATAACTCGGCCGAGCAGTTTCTTAGACACTAAAATTTAGTATACATACTCTAAAAATAGGCAGTCGTTAGCGCATATTATTGCCAATATAAGTAGAAAGTTACATGAAAAGTTATAAACAAATGAAACAAGCAAGACGTCAATTTTCTGTTAAACATCGAGTTTCATTCGGCCCAGCATAACCATAACACGGATGAAAAGTTATTAAAAAGTTCTTAACAAAATTTTATGGATCGTCCTTGTTATTGAAAAATGTGACCGTGATGACACAAAGGATGCTTATTTTTTGTGTTTAGTACAAATTGCAACGATGTCTGTAAAAATATAGTTTTTTTGGTATTTTGGGGCACGTTTAAAAGGTTTTACTGACCTCCCCCCTCCAGCTAAATTACTTTGGACCACTTTTTTGTTGTTTCACTGTCAAAAACCTCAAAAATAAAAAAGAATCATTAGAATCGGACTAAACATTCGAAAGCTATTTTATTTTGAGAAAAATTTGACCGTTTGCTCCCACTGCGATGGCGTACAGAGCACCTGCGCGCAAGACAAGGATGAACATCTGAGATAGCGCAAGTCCAACATCGACAGTGGAGAGCACAGCGTTGCATCGGCAGACTCTCGCCTGGCGTGATACTACGTGCTGCTAAGTTCGAGCAAAAAGAGAGCTCCAGCTATGACGAAACCGAGCACACCCATACACGACTATCTCGACTAACAGTGCTCAGGACACGAACTATGCCAGTTTGTGTATCGTCATAAACAGTACTAATGAGATTCTGGTAAGTGTTGATGCATTGTATTAATACTGTTGGATGAAAGTATGTCGAGTTAAAAGCAGTCGTCCCCATATACCTTACCAAACGCTAGAGTCTACCTAAATGTTCTCTACCGCAGCTTTAATAGTAACACACCTGTCAATAGTATAAAGTTAGCTGTACAAAAGAAAGTTATGACTTTGGAGATCGTCGCTTGCATAGTGTGCTACTACCATATTAAGTGAAAATCTACGTATTGATTCAAGAAATTAGACATTGCAGTGTTATTAAGTTTTTGTGCTGTTAATTGCAGCTGCCTTGTGTATGGTAAAAAACCTCATCTCATGGAATACAACCAAACAAATTACGACTTCCTATGCCCTGACAAAGACTATTATAGCTTACTACAGTCCGTTAAAAAAAAAGTGCTGTAGGAGTGGAACGATAATTATCACAGCTAGCTAAACTTAGATAAATACTATTACAGCTTCTAATTCTCTAACGAAGATTAGATCAGCTGATACAGATCTAAGAAAACTAAAATCATTCTGTGCTTCAGAAAAAAAAAGTTTATTATAAAAAGTTGTATGATGATTACGTAAAAATGAATAATAAATGAACACATTTAAATTAGAATGAAATCTGATATAAGAAAGTGAAATTCTGTAGTCAGTCAAAAGTGCTAAGTATATTTAGTTCGTATTAGAGATTACAAATAAATCTTATTTTATTTAATGTAAATCTTTCGTATAAGATTCTTTGTTTTGTAGTATGTGTAATATGTATTAGTTTTTTCCATCTCGACGTCCATTTGAGTCTATTTATGGAAATAAATCATTTAGAGTTTTCATGAACGATTTTTATATCTTTTTAGAATTGTTATTAAACATCAC